CGGGCAGTGCCACTGACTAGTATCTTTAGGCCATTCCCAAAGGAACATTTCTTGTTCATGCCTAGTAGAATAGTAAATGGGCTGATTCATCATGTTACGCTCATAACTGTGCCTGATCTACAACAGGGAACTGCTGCTTTTTCTTTACTATTGTCATTTTCCTCAACCTCTTTTGTATGTTTGTCGCACTCTTGTGACTTGCTATTTCCGGGGGTGCCTTGATAGTTGAAGCAGACTTTGTGCTGTTGAAGCTAGAGAAGTGAGCAGAGTAAGTCAGATTCCCTGTATGGGCTTCTCCGTTGACATCCACCCCTTGGCGCTCATATGACCGTATGCAGTTGCGAGCGCAGTAAAAACTCTACTAAAACTAAAAAATGTAGTTGTTGTTGGTTGGATGGCACCTGTGGCTTGCCCTGTGTCTTGTCTTTCTTCTCAGTTGTTTCTGTCTGTCTACCCAGTTTTGATCAAACCTTGTAGAATGGACGTGCTTTTCTGTACCCATGATGAAAGTAAGAATGTGACAGCTTACGTCACCCTGGTGCATAGTATTTAGCTGTAATTTTACAATAATATCTACCAAGAAGATTAATTTAATCATGGGGTTGTGGACAGGTGGAGGCCGAGGTGGACTGGGGGGCGTAACTGGTTAGATTTGTCTATTTGGTTGCTTTAAAATGTGCTTTTTTTAACTCACACAAACAAACAAAACTAATTTGTGAACAGCAGCTTGTTGGTTGGTGTACTGCTGTGGTTTGCTCTTTCTTTCCTATTGCAAACATCTATTGTCCTTATCTCTCCTTCTTCTATTTTTGTGTTTGCTACTCTCTTGTAACTCCTCTAATCTTCGGCACTTAAGTCAAGTGACCGAATTGTGTTGCAACTGCCATAAGACCCTTACTAAAACTAAACTTTCTTATAATGAAAATATGAATGTGGGGGTCGTAATCCTGCAGGTGTGTTGTGTTAAGAACGTCAGTTCTACTATAACATTGATATGGTGAATATGTGGCAAATTCTGGTTAGATATCGCTACCTCGGAATTACATAGTTCTCTCTGACATTTTGGGTCGTTTTGAGTTACTCTAAGACCATGAGGTCAGATACCAAATGTTCTATCTGCTCTATCAAAATCATAAGATTATTTGGAGTTGTTATAGAGATATTCAAAGAATTGCATCAGAAAAAGCTTGACAACAAGATGTGAAACTCAAAATCTTTAACATCAAATTTCTCAGAACTAGGAGCTGAGCAGATAGAACTTTGTAATTTTGAGATAACGATTTGTCTACTACTTTGGTTTAAAATGTGCTTTTAAAAATTCTCTACTCTCAAACAAGTGGATAAATATAATTGTGACCATGTTGTGTCATTCAGCGATGGCGGGCGCGTGCGTGATCATCTTCGTGGTGGCCGTGCTGTACGAGGGGCTCAAGTTCCTGCGGGAGCTGCTGCTGCAGCGCTCACTCCAGGCCACGGCCTTGACCTCCTCCAGTACTGAGAAGATGGTCATGCAGACACGGAGCGTTTCAGTCACGTAAGTCTTACACAAGGTTTTGTGATTGGAAGGGGGTGGGGTGAGGGTGGAAGATGGATGGACAGGCGGAGGTGGGTGGGTGGGGGGGTTGAAGAGAAGGAATAAGGCATCGGGATGGAGAGAGGGAAGAGGAAAGAATGGGGAAGGGGAGGGGG